CAAAATAGCTAGACAGCAAATTTTAAGGTATTGTCAAAATGTTAAGCATAAATGAGTTAACAACAGCAAACATTTGGGTATTCTTTCACATCCTTGCTCTAAAATGATGCATTTTTCTGGATTCTAATTCAAAGTACAGAGTTGGAATCTAAAAAAAGTGAGCTTGTATGGTCCTATGTAGAATTGGTTGAGTATAGTTTTTGAATATTCAATGCTGGCTATCTGAAGAGATGTCTCTAAAAGCTGCTAATTGCTAAAATGAACAAGAGTACAAGATAGTACAGATGCACTCAAAGTTCATATACATGATTAAAGTTTAAGAACATGTGTCTAATATTAAAGTTAATAAAGTTAAAGCAAATTTCACATAAATATTATATTTAAGAAATTGAAATGGGGTAATAATACATATGCAGTGAAAATAAATAAAAAAAACCAAAATAACCACAGAAGATAACACTGTGAGACTGTCACAAGTTGGTTCTAAGACAACAAATGATGGTGTAGTGAACCAAAATAGATTCAGACAGTTATTAACTCCCAAATGAAAGAGATATGCTACTCTTATTCTCTTCTTAAGGAAAATAAGGAGACCTAGAGGGGAAAAAGATGGTGGAGTAGGACAGCAAGGCGGAAACCTCCTCCTATGTACACCCAAAGAAACAAATGCAGCAAATACAACTAGCTCTGAAAATGACCTGAAGACTGCAGAACAGACCACCTACACCTGGGGAAGAGACCACATACAGAAGGATAAAATGGCAGAGCTGCAACCAATCAGGACCCAAACCATTTCCCCATCCCAGCCCACAAGCAGGAAGGAGAGGAACAGGGCTGGGAGGGATAAGTACTCCGGAAGTCTGCACATCAGTCCCTGAAGATCTGCTCTGGGAACAGAGTACACATGGAACAGGTGATTCACGGGGATGGACACCAGGGACAGTTGTAGCACTCTGGGAGGCTGAGATTCCTGTCACTTGTGGTGGACAGGCACCGTCCCGATCAGTCCTGCTGAGACCCAACACAGAGGCAGCAGTTTGAAAGATTTATCAGCAGTGTAAAGTGTGCCAGAAGGGAGTGGGTAGGAGGGTGCATTCTTTCCGAAGGAGAAAGGACAGGTGCACGATGCTTTCCCAGCCCTCCCTTAGCCCAACTGGTTGGGCGTTTGAGGAAGCCAGCTCCAAATGCTCTCTCTTGCTGGTGGCTCAGCCCTGTAGCATGCCTCTTGCTGCCCGGCAGGCTTTCTCAGCTTTCACGGCCCTTCCCAACTTGGGGGCACTTATGGGAGCCAGCTCTAAGCTCTCCAGCTTCCTCACTGCTGTCTCAGCCCCATGGCAGTGCTTCCCAACTCACCTGCCCCACCTGGCTGGCCCTGCCCAAGCAGTGGTTGCCATGGTTGACTGGCAGGCAGAGGGTGCCCCATACACAACAAATTCCACCAGAAGCACCGCATGACACACAACAGCCTGTAGAGGTGAGCTGTCAGCCTCTACTTCCAGACTGGCAGAAAGGCTGCCCTGCCCACAGCCTGCCAACAGCAATTACAGCTCCACAACGAATGAGAGCGAGGCACTGGTGAGCAAAGAGTCTTGAGCTTTTGGGTATCAAAGGATGCTTTCTTTGTAAAGTTGAAAACTTTTCCTCCAAGATCAGGAATAAGACAAGGATGTCCACTCTCACCACTTTTATTCAACACAGCATTGGAATTACTAGTTATGGCAATTAGACAAGATAAAGAGATAAAAGGTATCCAAACTGGCAAGGGAGAACTAAAACTTACTATTTGCAGATGACATGATACCATATACAGAAAAACCTAAAGACTCACACTAAAAATTATTAGAACTAGTAACTGGATTTGGCAAAGTTGCATTAATGCAGAGATCTGTTGTGTTTCTATATACTAACAAGAAACTGGCAGAAAGAGTAATCAGGCAAATAATTCCACACATAATTATATCAAGAAGAATAAAATACTTAGGAATAAAGCTAGCCAAGGAGGTGAAAGACATGTACCCTGAAAACTGTAAGACACTGATGAAAGAAACTGAACAGGACACAAATAAATGTAAAGAAATCCATCCCAAGTTCATGGATAGTAAGAATCAGTATTGCCAAAATGGCCATCCTACCCAAAGCAATTTAGAGATTCAATACAATCCTATCAAAATACCAATTTCAATGAACTAGAGCAAAGAATCATAAAATTTATATGGAATCATAAAAGCAATCTTGAGAAAGAAGAACAGAGCTGGGGTATCATGCTCCCTGATTTCAAGCTATACTACAAAGTTAGTGATAAAAAACAGTATGGTACTGGCACAAGAACAGACCCACAGAACAACACTGTTAGAGAATAGGGATCCCAGAAATAAACCCATGCATATATGGTCAATTACCATATGATAAAGGATTCATGAATATACCATGGGGAAAAGACAATTTCTTCAGTAAATGGTGCTGGGGAAGCTGGACAGCTTTATGCAAAAGAATGGATTACTGTCTAACTCCATACATAAAAGTAAACTTGAAATGGATCAAAGACTAAATATAAGACATGAAAACATAAAATTCTTAGAAGAAAACAAAAATCTCTTGAACATAAGCATGAGTAATTTCTTTTTCTGGACATGTTTCTTCAGGCAAGGGAAACAAAAGCAAAAATGAACAAGTGTAACTACATCGAACTAAAAGGCTTCTGTATAGCAAAGGATACCAGCAACAGAACAAAAAAGTAATCCTACAGTATGGGAGAATATATTTGAATGATTTATCTGATAAGGTGGTAACAACCAAAATATATAAAGAACCCATATGCCTTAACACCAAACAAACAAACAAAACCCCCCCACAAAAATCTGACTGAAAAATGGATGGACATTTTTAGTGTAAGAACAAAGCAAAAACTGAAGGAACAAAACAGCAGCAGACTCACAGAACCCAAGAATGGACTAACAGTTACCAAAGGGAAAGGGCCTGGGGAGGATGGGTGAGAAGGGAGGGATAAGGGGAAAAAGGTGCATTATGATTAGCACACATAATATAGGGGAGGGGCATGGGGAAGGCGGTACAGCACAGAGAAGACAAGTACTGATTCTATAGGATCTTACCATGCTGATGGACAGTGACTATAATGCGGTATGTGGTGGGGACTTGATAACGGGGGGAATCTAGTAACCACATGTTGCTCATGTAAGTGTATATTAATGATACCAAAAAAAACAAAGGGCAGACGACCTGAACATTTTTTCATAGAAGAAATATAGATGGCTAACAGGCACATGAAAAGATGCTCCAGAGTGCTAATCATCAGGGAAATGTGAATTAAAACCACAATGAGATATCACCTCACACCAGTCAGAATGGCCAATAGGTAAGATATAACAAGTGTTGCCAAAGATATGGTGAAAAGGAAACCTTCCTATACTGTTGGTGGGAATGTAAACTGGTGCCCCTATGGAAAGCAGTATGGAGTGTACTAAAAAAACTAAAAGTAGAAATACCATATGACCCAGTAACTCAAGGAATTTACCTGAAGAAAACAAAATCTCTGATTTGAAAAGACACATGCACCCATATGTTCACTGCTAATTACTGATGAGAGCTTAGACATGGAAGCAACCAAAATGTCCATAGAAGATATGGTACATATACACACTGGAATATTATTCTTGGGGATGGATACAGCATGGAGAATATAGCCAAAGGTTCTGTAACATCTTTCTACATTGACAGTAGTTGACTAGTTGGGTGAGGATTTAATAATGTGGGTAACTGCTGAATCACTGTGTTGTGTACTTTAAACCAATATAATATTGTGTATCAACTATACTTCAATTAAAAATAAAGATCAACACTAAATAAACAAATAAATAAAACAAAGTAAGAAAACCAAAAAAGGAGTATCTTAACTATCATTCCTTTTAACTTTGAAGCATAGCTAGAGACTATCAGTGAATTGCATTTAGGCTAATGAAAAATTTGAGATGAAGAGAGGATGTAAATTGAAGAGTCAGCAACAAATAAAGGAAATTAACAGGGCCAAATGATTAGCCTCTTTCCACAAACTACCTAACACAATCATGGGCATTTATTATTAAGAGTGGCTCTTACATTAAGTAGGGATCAAAAACATGAATTAAGGCAACTTAGAAGAATTAATCATAGCAATAATAAAGCACTATTTATATGATTAACATTCAAAAAGAAATTATAATTGTTATATCTGTTGAAGTTCTTATTGCTTTAGTGTAACGAAGTGTCATCTAAGCATTTTATAATCTAAATAAGAATGGATGAGATTACCCCTAAACAGCCCTAATACCTAACTATGGGGCTGGCATTTTGGTCCACATGAATGAATGTCTACAATCTACAGAATAACTCCTAATTCTAACAACAGATTATTATTAGGCAATAGTAACTGTAATTGTTAATTAAAATCAATAAATCATAGTAAGTTTAACAATGAACTGACAACATTCTAAGTCTCTCTGGACTAGACAAATCTTGTTGAATTTCTGCTCCTCCTACTCTAACTTAGGTATGAATGCACAAAGGTCTAATTCTGCTAAAGGCCCCCAACCTCATTTGACTATAGTTCTACTACAAAAATTAAGCCATACTGTAAAGTTTACTATTATCAATACCTAGACAGAGCCATCATATGATCAGAAATTTTCATTATGTTGAGTTAATCAAGTTTTGAAATTGCTACTATAAAAAGTAATGGTTTTTTCTTAAAAGAGTAATAATATTTGCCTTAATGTTAAATTTTTGAGATATATTATAGCAAAGATTCTCTGTTTTTTCTGTTCAAACTTCAAGATAAGATACACCTACCAGTAACATTCAATCACTATAGAAGTAATTCTCAAAGGAGGTGGCTGCATTTAAGAATTATAAATTACTTTCTATGAAAGGCATTTAATAATCCTATGTGATCTAAGAAAAGCTTAGTTTTCTCAAATGACATAGAAGGAATATCAATAAACTCCTACCTGTTCTGGCATAGCTCCATGTTCAATTCCAGTCTTCAATAATCTATAGCAATTACCAAACAGATCCCACTTTGTGAGATCGTGAGCACTAAAATAAATAAAAAATGCATTAACTTTATTCTAGAGTGGGAGAAAATTTAAATTTGAGTTTAGTTTCAGTGGGTGGAAGGATAAAATAACTTTCTATTTTCTTTTGGAATTGAAAAAGATTCATAAGGAAATGTTCAAGTGCTCAAACTAGGAAGGAAATAAGGAACGAAGGAAGGGAAGGAGGAAGGAAGGAATCAGAAAGAGAAAAAAGAAAGAGTGGAAGGGTAGAAGAAGGGGAAGGGGGAACAAGGGAGGATGGAAGGAAGGAAGAGGGGAAGGAGGGAGCCATGAGAGAGCAACCAGAGTGCATCCTGATATTAAGAATCCATTAAAAGAAATCAGTAACAATAAAACTTCACATATTTAAATGAAGGTTACCACCACATGGTCAACCTGGGCTCATATTCCACTTCTTTTTGGTATATTTTAAAATATGTTTAAATAAGTACATCTACAATTTCAAAATATTAATACATGTGTATTTTTTAAAAGATCTGTATTCTCAAGATGTAGATAAAGACAAAAACAAGGGAAAAGAAATACAGCAAAGTTCAAGAACTTTAGGGTAGCTATTTACATGGGCTGAGGAGGACTTCTGAGTTGAAATAATGTTAACATTTTAAACTCTCATGAGCTCTACTACTAAAAATAGATAATTGCCTGTCAACTTTAATTTTCAAATGTCAAAATAATTTTTTAAATAGGAGTTTTGACATTGGTTGTCAATTCTTATTTTCAAAGATCAAAATATTTTTAAAAATAACTGTTTCTCCAAGGAATTCCAAAAAAACGTGTATGAAGGTTTAGATTTTAGACACTGCCTTTGAAATCCAAACTACTCATTATATAAGAGCTATACTCAAACACTCTTTTGACAAGAAAGTTTTCTATTTTCCTTTCTTTATGGAGAAGCATGCCTCACTATAAGGGACATGCAAATTATGATTTGGAAATGACACTTAATTTCATTGATCTGAGCCCTTTTTTCCTTATTCAAATATAACTGTTTTGTCTACACAGAAAACATACAATAATCAAATAAATAAGAGCAATTCTGGATAAAAACTCATAGAAATAACTGTCAAGGCTTTCCCCAAATCTTATTTCTTAGTAAGATTTCTAAAAGCTATCAGATGATAACTATACCTATAAAACTCTAGCTACTAGAATAAACCCATCTAATTTATTAGTAACACTGATTAACTTAAGCTCTGACAGTGTACCAGTGTACAATGTACATTCATTACACTGAATGATAAATCTTACTCCTTATGTAATCAAATTACAGTAAAACCCATAATTTATCTAGAGAAAATATGAATAATAACAAAGAAAAAAATCACAACATCTCAATACTTCTCTAAAATTTCCCATTGTTTTATGGTTAAATATTACAAAGACAATCAGTTTACTTTATTTTGGCTAGTATGTTATTCACTAAATTTACTTTAAATAAAGTGACATACTTGTGAAATGAGGTTAACCGCTTTAAGGTAGAAAGAACATTGTAAATATCATCATCATCAGCTTCTTCTCCCTATAAATAAGTAGATTATCACCTCATTACCAGAACTTTACTCATCCTCAAATTCAAATCAAAGTCTATTAATACTTACTGCCTAAAGAAAAATTATTTTTTATTATATAAACAGTATATGTTCACTATTGGTAAATAAGAAAATACATATAAGCAAAAAAAAACACAAAAAAAACCCACCCAAAATAAAGTATACCCATAATCCCAACACCCAGAGATAACCATTTTAAAAAATGTCATGAACACGACTTTGTACACCTTTGATTATGCTCAGTGAAATAAGCCAGGCAGAGGAAGACAAATACCAAATGACTTCTCTCATTTGTGGAGTATAACAACAAAGCAAAACTGAAGGAACAAAAACAGCAGCAGACTCAAGACTCCAAAAAGGGACTAGCAGTCACCAAAGGGGAGGGGTGGCGGAGGGTGGGTAGTGGGGAGGGAGAAGGGGATTGAGGGGTATTATGATTAGCACACATGGTGTGTGGGGGATCATGGGGAAACAGTGTAGCACAGAAAAGATAAGTAGTAACTCTGTGGTATCTTACTATACTGATGGACAGTGACTTCAGTGGAGTATGAGGGATTTGATAATATGGGTGAATGTAGTAACCATTCATACAATGTTTTTCATGTGAAACCTTCATGAGAGTGTATATCAATGATACCTTAATAAAAAAAACATACTTTAGGATAAGTTCCTTGAAATTGCAGAGTGAAAGGTTATATACTTTAAAGATTTTATTGATTGTTAGCTTCCACGGCTTCAGAATCACAATGAAAAATAAAAAATGGTTGAAAAAAATTAAATGCTAAAGAAAGTTAATATTAAAATTTGAAAGTAGGGAAAAATTGGTTAAATGGATTATAAAGAAGATCCTATCAGTCTGACCATCAGAACACAGAAAGCTGTGGGGGTTCCAGATTGCTTTATACAGATTGGAGAGAGAAGGCAAGAGATGGGGATCACAGAAATAATCATAAAAACAACCAATTGGAGATGGCTGCTGCTACTTTGGGCATACTACTGGTAAGCAGCCATCACTTAGCAGCAACCTTAATTTTTATGTTCTATTCATTTACACATGGTAACAGTTATGCAATATTAAAATGCAAATTAGTCCCAGGAATAGAAAATGAAAAAATGAGTTAAGAAAAGCCAGACCTTAAAAAGATTTTTCTTAAAAGAGGAAAAAATACAGCTTTTATGAAACAGGTTTTTCAGTTAAACATAAAGTACAACCAAGGTGGATCTTTATAGGATGAACAACTTCAATAATGCTGCTAAATTTTAAAAGGTGTAGAGAATTCTACTAGATTTTATTTTAAAATGGAAACAATTTAAACATTCAGCTACTCTGAATAATTAAATTATTGAATTATTAGTCAAAATTATTACAATTACACATTAACTTTAAAACAGACCTCTTGTAATAGATCTTCCACAGAATGATTGAATCGATCTACAAACTCATCAATCAGCTGACTTCGAGCTATGTCAACTCTGTTCTGGATGGTATACTCTTCACTGCATAAGATGCTATAGGTTTTACTGCAGGCTTCTAGAACATCTGATTCTACGTGTTTTTCCACAACAAACTTAATCTGTTTTAATAAAGCATCCAGATGCTGAGAAGGAAAAAAGAAAAACTGTGATATTTAGGTTAGTAACAAAAAATAAAAATAACCACTTGTCAAATAACAAGTCTATAGATTACATGAGAGTAAAATAATCCAGTTAATAAAACTGAATATAATAGCAAAATTTCCAAGTTTCAGTGTCTTACCTTTTCCATTCTTCCTGTGCTATAAATTTCCAGATCAAAATACTGTGGGATTTGTAGCAAGTTTGCTACCTTCTCTGCATCTGCAGAATACTAGGAGGACAGGTAAAGAAAGAAGTACTTTAATAGTACAGTGCAATAAGCAAACTCAGTGGCATATTAGGACAAAAAAGTAAATAAAACTGTACCTTCGATAGCAACATAGGAAGTGTGATAATAAAATGCTCAGTCAATTTGTTTCTATCGTCAATTTGAGTTTTCCTTTCTTTGGCAGTTAGTACCTGGAAATAAATTTAAATGGGCAAAGAGTAAGAGTGTCATGTACTAATTTATAAATTTAAAGTACTACAGAGATGATGAAGCACTGGCAGCTAATGTAACTAAGAATTTTCAGAGGAGCTTAACAAACTAAATAAACACATCTAGTTTTATGCAGATTTCTATGCACCATTACTTTATAAATAGGTACTTATCTAAGAATCACTAAACTTTAGGTAAATTACTACTTGTTTAGATAAAAAATAACATTTCAATAAAACCATAATTATGAATATAAAAATATTGGACCAATGGAGAAATAATTTTTTTGGACTTCTAACCTCAATGTTTCCCCTATGTTAAACATTTTTATAATAAAATACTTTAGAAGGTAATGCTTTTTTAATACAATCAGCAGCTAACAAATTTTCACTTATTTTTAAAGCATATACTACCGATATCTCTGGACTCTCATTATATTTGATTGTTTTTGTATCTACACTGATAAACCTGCTCGACAATAATCAAGACAGTGGATTATAGCCTATGGTACTGAACAAATTCAAGCTGGTACTACCTATCATATTAGTCTGTCTATACTCAACCAGTTAAATCATAGGTAGTTCCAAAGACAAAATATTAAAATGCAAGTTCAGTTAGGATAATCATTTCCTCCAAGTATTCTGCATTTTATTATCTTGAAGCTGAATGATTTTACAGAACAGAAACACTCCAATATAAATTGACACTTTATAAACATGAGAATGTGTGAAAGGAGTAATAGGGCCTCCTATCTAGTTCTTCTTCCAGGGATTTTATTATTTTTCAACCTCTTAAACATAAAATAATCACTTTGGAATGACTTACCAAGTACTGTGTTTAGTTTTGCACAAAGTAATTAAAGGGACCACAGATAAAGTAGAATATATATCTAGGAAAGACCTGAGGATATGAGAAGTCTTGAAATTCATCTGACAATGTATGAAGGTCTAAGAATATTGATTTTAGAGAAATAGCTACCTTTGATTAAATTATCATATAATCCTCACAATCTCCCTGATAATAAGGGCAAAAAATGGCATAATACCTATGGGGTATTTGAGAATACCTAACAGAATTATATATATATCTTTCCTTTGATCTAATGATCCCACTTTTAACAATTTACCTCACCAATACACCCAGTGCATGTATGAAATTACACAAGATTATTCACTACACATTATTTCTAATAGCAAAAGATTGGCAACAATCCAGAAGACTGTGCATAGTGTGTGCACATAATGGACACTATGTAGCCATAAGAAAATGAAGATTTCCAAATATAGTTATACACTGTTAAAATGAAAATGTAAGGTACAGAACACTATATAAAGTATACCAGCTCTTGTAGGAGGTTAAGAGGGAGGAAGATGGAGAATAAGAATACATGTGGCATCTATTTACCTGTATTTGCAAAATTAAACACTGGAAGGATAAACCAAAAACAAAATTATTACTGGTAGGAACTGGGTGTAAAGGGAGTTATATAAGGAAGACTTCTCTGAATATATATTTTTATATGGTTTTGACTTTTTAACTGTGTAAATGTATTATATATTTTCAAAAAATAAAAATGATATAAAACATACAAAATTAAAGAGGTAAAACTTTGTTTAAATGAGAAATACCAGTATCTGTAAATATAATCTGTATATATAAATATATAGATTTCTTAGTTTTTGTGTACTAAACATGACTAGCAGAAATGGCAACCAATTGATAGTATTCTTAATGTCAAGATTATGATCTTTAAATATTATCCTCTATTAAAGGGAAACAGGGTTTACTAGAGATTCCTGTGGTAGGGTAATGCCAGCAGAGTCTCTTTCCACAATGAATAAGGCTGACATGTGTAACCAACAGAATATTGTGGAAATGATGTTGTGTGATTTTGGAGGGTTAGGTCATAAAAGACATAGAAGTCTACTTCTTTACTCTCTTTTGGATCATTCATTCTTGGGGAGGCCAGAAGCCATGTCACTCAAACAGTCCTACTAAGGGGTTTACATAGTAAAGACCCGAGGAATAATCATCACCAACTATTGAGCCATGTGAGTGAGCCACTATGAAGTAGTAAATTAGCAATCAAACTTTCAGAGGCTAAAGCCTTGGCTAACATCTTAAATGCAACCCTATGAAAGACCCTAAACAAAAATAATAGGTAAGCCCTGGCCAATTTTTGGCCCACAGAAACTGTATGAAATAATGAAGACTTACTGTTTTAAGCCTCTAAATTTTGAAGGAATTTTTTTACACTGCAGTGGATTACTACTATAAACAGTAAAGGTAGCAAGTGAACCCAGGGCATCTTGCTCTGGAACAAAGCAAGAAAGTGCTAAAAAAAAAAAAATGATTAAGACATGTGAAAGGACACATTATCTTGAAAAGGCTCTTAGGCAAAGTTGGGACCATACATATTTTAAAACTTTTATTTTGGAAAATTAAAAACACTCATTCTTTCACTATTGTTTCAATTCCCCCTAAAGTTTTTTTTTTTCCTGCAGCATTTTTAGGTGAATTCTTGGTATATTGTTTCACTCATATATATTTAAGTAGATGTCTTTAACAGATGAAGACTTAATAATAATAAAACTTACTATCTCCAACAAAATTAAACATTAATTCCTTAGTATTATTTCATTCCCAGTCCACAGTTTTCTCAATCTCCATTTTTTTGGAGTCTTTCCTATATTTGTATTTAATGTAATTTTTGATACAGTTGTCAGCCATTGTGCTATTGTTATTTGTTATTTTATAGCTCATGTCCTTTTTTTTTGTTTTTTCTGTTCTCCCTTTATTGCTTTCTTTGGGATCATATATTTTTTAGTGCTCTATAATTTGTTTTCCTTTTTTAGTTATGAATAGTTGCTCTAGGGATTACAATATACTTCTTTAACTTATTACAATCAACTTCAGGTTAATACTGAATTATTTACAGCAAAATACAGAAATTTTGTTCTAATACAGTCCATTTCCTTTACCACTATTTCTGCTATTGTTGTCACATATATTTTTTATATATTATAATCTTAATACTACAGTAGTATCCTTATTTCTTTAAATAATCTCATGTCCCTTTAAAGAAATTAAGAGAAAAAAAGGAAAAATAAATAATTTACACAGCCTTTTATGTTCACCCATGTATTTACCATTTCTGGTACTCTTCATTACTAAATGTGCATTAGAGTTACCATCTGGTATTACTCTTTACAGCTCAAAGGACTTTTAGCATTTCTTCTAAGGCAGGTCCTCTAGCAACAAGCCTCTCAATCTTTGATTATCTGGGAATGTTTTTATGTTACCTTCAATTTGAAATATAACTTTACTAGATTTAGAATTCTAGGTAATTTTTTTGTTTTTCAGTGAATATGTCATTCTACTGTCTTCTGGCCTCTACTGTTTCTGATAAGAAGTCAACTGCCAATTGTATTGCTGTTGCCTTATATAAATGAGTGTTTTTCTTTTGTTGCTTTTAAGAATTTTTTGTCTTTGATTTTCAACAGTGTGACTACCCTGTGTTTAGAGGTAGATCTTTTTGTTTCTTCTACTTGGGTTTTGTTAAGTTTCTTGCATCTTTAGACTGCTTCTCATTAAATTTGGGAAATTTTTGGCAATTATTTCTTCAAGTGTTTTTCCTTCCTCTTTTCACTTTTTTTCTTTCTGAGACACCACCATACAAATTTGGCAGACCTGTTTCACACATTTCTGAGGCTCTATTCATTTTTCTTCAACCTTTCTTTCCTCTCTGTTCTTCAAAATGGATAATCCTCATTACTCTATCTTCAGGTTCAGTTTTTTTCTTGTCATCTCAAATCTGCTACTGATCTATCTACTGAATTTTAAATTTACTGTACTTTCAACTCTAGAATTTCCATTTGGTTTTTCATTATTGAAATTCCCTATTTCTTGTTATCTTATTTTCTGGCAATTCTTTAAACATGTTTCTCTTTAATTTTTTGAACACATTCATAAAAAAGGCTCTAAAATACCCATTAAACTCAATAACTGGGCCTACTACGCAGTCATTTTTATTCTCTGCCTTTTTTCCTTGACTATGGTCACATTTTAGAGTTTCTTTGCATGGCTGTAATTTTTCTGGAGAAGTGGACACTTTAGGATAATATAGTATAGCAACTAATGGATTGTTAGCTTATTTTTCTTAGTTTCATTTAAAAGAACCCCACTAATCTTTAACTTAAACTGTGGAGTTTCTCTCTCCCATGATATGTGGCCTGTGCTTGGAATTTTTCTTTTTTACTGTTGATTACTAGTCAGCCAATGATCTGGGCAGAAGTTGTGCTCAAATATTTCAAATCTGTGAGGCTTTCTCCTCATGACACTTCGCCTCTTTGTGGATTAGAGGCATATTCAAAGTTTAGCCAGTTCTCAAGTCTGGCCTGACTTTTATTTTCCATTGTGTTCTCTCAGGTTTCCCAGTCAGCAGGGATATGAAGAGCTTATCTAATCTTCTTATGGCTTTCTCATTCCCAGCTTTTTTAGTTAGATTCTTGGCTGGTCCACTGTTCTTACTAACCGGGACCACAACTACAACCACTGCATATCCTATCTGTGAGTCTTCTACCAAGTCTGCCCTTTCTAGTTGACAAACTTTTCCTATACTGAGACTGTTCTCCTGAGAGCAAAGCTGCTGGCTTTTGCAGACAGTGTCACTTGGTAGTACTATAGGTATCAACAATCAAGCTTGTTGGGTATGTTAGTATTATAACCCAGGCAAGGAGGCTGCAGACTTCCACTGCTTTTACCTAAAGCAGCTTTAGCAGTTTTTCAAGAATAACTGAAAAACTGTTTTTTTATCTTTGGTCAATTTCCAGAATCCTGATATTGTTTTTTGACAGTATTTCCAGTATTATATATTTTTTTCCCTAAAGAATTGCCTACCTCTTCACATCACTAGAGCCAATTTTTCCATCTGTGATTACCTGAATTCATCCTAAATATCAATAACACCTGCATTATTAGCCCCATATTACAGATAAGGGAATCAAGGCACAAAGAAAATAAACTATCCAGATTACATAGTTGCCAAATGGAAGAGCTTGCAAAACTAGGCAGTTTGCTTTCAGAGTCTTCCTGCTTTTAACAGATATGAATGTGAAAATTATTGAAGTACTGGACTAGAAGCAGGTACTTCAATAATTTTCACATTCATATCTGTTAAAAGCAGGAAGACTCTGAAAATTATTGAAGTACTGGACTAGAAGCAGGTATAAATGCAATAGGCACATGGGAGAAAAGAATCTATTTTTGAAAGCTGAGTAAAGTAGATAGGATATAAAGATGAAGCACCACAGCATATGTCATTTGCAAGAATACTGTGTTTTTAGGGATAATACACCAGTAACATTTCAAATATTTAAGACAGTTAATTACATTAAAAGCCTTTTTGTAGATTTCTCACTAATACAACTTACTCTCTTGCCAGTACCCCTTCCCACTGGAGGATGTGCCTCAGCAGCTTGACGAATCGTACAAACCATCAGCTCTATAAGAGCACTCTCTTGGCGATCAGACATTGCTAAGGTAAAACAAAACACACTAGGATGAGTAGTTTTACAATAACCATGTATTAAATGTTAACACAATTATTAAAAAACTGCAACCATATTCTACTACTTATTCTTAAAGACAAATTAAGATTTGCACTTTGTCTTTTTACTTTTTTAAGAATATGTGTTTGTCATAAGTCAGTAAGAAAGAGATAAAGTAAAGAAAAAGAGGATAAACTGGTTTCTTCTTATATATGGTCTCTTCTAACTTCTAACACTATTATTTCCGAATTAGGCAATGCCAAGATTTTATGGTATTTCCTTTTATATCATTTCAAAACTCATATAATTAGGTATCTTTCTTTTTTGTTTTTTAATTTAAAAAATGCCAAACCTATTTCTATATTAAAATAGATTTTTAATATCTTTCAAGTCACTACATACATGAATAATTATTTTAAATAATCATGAGTTATTACATTATCTGTATTCTACAATTAAGTTAACCATCTCCTACTCACATTCAAATTGTTTCCAAATTTGTCACTATTAAACATGTAAAGAATATCATTAATACACATATATTTATGCAACTGATATTTTCAGATCTATAGAACAAATTCCTAGGAGAGGCAGTAATGGGTCAAAGGTTAAAATCTTGATACTGACTAATCATAATGTTATTTACCACAATTCAAACTTTTGTTTAGTTGCTCATATCTCTGCCAGCACTGGATGCTATAAATCTCTTTAACTTTTGCCAGTTCAATGATTTAAAAATGATATTTCATTGTTATTTTGCTCCTCCTTATCTACTAATCAGTGGAGTGTATTTTCTAGTTTATTGGTTTCTAGAATGTTCTCCTGAAATTCTTCTGTTTAGTCTTTGCCCATCACTGTACTGCTATTCAACTTTCTTGAACTCTTGTATATTAAGAACTGTAATTTTGTCTTTTGAATGATGCCAGTATTTTCTCACAGTTTGTCCTTTTGTTATCAGACTCCTCTCGGTATCTTTGTGAGACAGAAATCGTTAATTTTTACAAGAACACATCTGTACCAATTTGTTTTATGGCTTGTGGGTTTCTTTTTTCTCTCTCTAGTTTTATTTCAATATAACTGACATACAGCACTATATAAGCTGTATAACATAATGATTTGACTTACATATATTGCAAAACAATTACCACAAAATGTTAACACCCATCATCTCATACAGATACAGAAAGGCTCCTGTGTTTCTTGCATTGCTTTAAAAAATCTCCTTGTCCTGGAGATTAAAGAAATATATTTTCTTTTCTCTCTCTCTTGCTTTTAAATCTTTAATCTGTCTGGAACTTATTTCTGTTGATAGTATGAAAAATGGGCCTATTACTCCTACCAGATGAACAGTCAATTATGCCTCCACCCTTGTAAAATAAACCAACTTTCCCTGTTGAATTTAAATGTTACTTTTTAACATGTCTAAGGCTCTCATATGTTTATCTTTTACGGATTCCTTAGTTTCACTAATCTATTTCTTTTAGAATGTGATATTGTTTTTTGATTATAGCAGCTTTATATTATGTTATAGTATACTTTACTATGTAACAATTCAACTAATTTAAATATTTAGTTGAACAAGTTTCTCTTATCTAGTCTTCTTTCTAAAATTTTGCTAGTTTCTATAATGTTAATGGCAAAGACTTTAAACACTAAGCAATTTTTTCTATGTACAAGGCACTGTTATAAATGATTTATATGTATTTACTTGTTTTATCCTTAAAACAATTCTACGAGATAGGAACTAATATCTTCACACTTAACAGAAGAGGAAAATGAGCCACAGAGAAGTTAAATGACTTTTCCATTCAGGTAGTAGTAGGACCAAGATAAGAATCCAGGCAGAGCACACCAGGGTCTGTGCTCTTAAGCAACATGCTCTACTATGTTTTTAAGATAAGCTTAAAATTCTATACAAATTTTAGAATCATTTTTCTTAGTTCCTTCTCTCACTGTACCTCCCAGAATTCTCTCAAACCCACTGGAATTCAGATTAAGGTAATTTAGGAAATCTACACAGTGGGAATAACTAACATTTTTATAATTTTTTCAGTCATGATTCAGCTCTTCATTTTTGAAACCTTGACATCATTTAACAAAGCATTATGGCTTTCTTCATAGTGATTCTGAACTTCCCCTGTTGAATTCATTCCCATGTATTTTTAAAGATAGAGTTTGAGGCTAACTGAATAGTTGAATTCTATCTTTCTGTTTCCCTCTTTCACTCCCTCTCCATTTCTCTGTATACTTAGTTATCTTAAAAAAGCAATAGATGTGGGATTATAGAGACAAAACAACATACAAATAAAAAAAAATCAAGCTTTAGAAGTTTAAATGATTTTAAAATAAATTGGGGCAACAGCAATGAAAAGGCAAAGATATAATATCTTGTACTTTATTTTGTACCCAAATTACCCTGTACATATGTACATCTTAATTCAAAAAATTTTAAAAACATTTTCTTAGAAAATCACATGAACTTCAGTTTGTCTTAGCAAAACCTAATGGAACAGCTCCCACTTTTCCATTTATACTCTCTGAAACAATGCCTAATAATATGAAAAAGCTTCTCATTCAATAAAACAACTAGGTTTCTGTTTTTAGGAGTCTAGAATTTCATACTTTTTCACACTTGGGGATAAAGGAATGACAAAGTTGTCTATGAACTACATGCATTTTCTTTTATTAATAAAGAAAATCTAGTTTTATAGAAAGTTAGGGGAGAGGAGCAATTTATCTCAAGTATGGAAACATTGACCTACTATTTACTAAAATCTGTATCAGTGTTGAAGAATAACCCAACCTTACATAGTGTTCAATGCCATCAATTTAATTATTCAGCTTATAAATTGAAACCATCCATTTAGACACGGTAAACTCAAAATAGCTGAAATTTAATTGAAATCACTTTCAGGGTATGACAGCAAAACCAAATGATAAAACTGAAAGCAATGCAAGCTTCAGGTCACAGATAAAAGCCAAATTGCCACAATGGCTGAGAGAAATGGATAGCTATTCAAAATATGAATTATCAGATACACATGAATTTCTAAAACTTCAGAAACCTCTTTGTACATCATCCCCATATCGTCACTACTGATTTTGTTCTAATCCCTTGAACTCTGGCTTTTCTCCTTACTTACCACTGAAAAGAAATGCTTCAAAGTCACCAATGACCAGATTTCAAACTATACTATACAAATCTACAGTCATCAAAACAATATGGTACCAGCACTGAAACAGCACGTAGATCAATGGAATAAAACAGAGAGCCCAGAAATGAACCTGTGCATATATGGTCAATTAATATACAACAAGGGAGGCAAGAATATATAATTTAAATAAAAGACAGTCTCTTCAATAAATGGTGCTGGGAAAACTGGACAGCTACATGGAAAAGTATGAAACTGGACCATATGCCATATATACAAAAATGAACTCAAAACAGACTAGAGAACTAAATATATGATCTGAAACCATAAAACTCCTATAAGAAAACATTGGCAGTAAACTCTTAGATATTGGTCTTTGCAATGTATTTTTTTTTTGCTGTCTCCTTAGGGTGACAGAAGCAAAAACAAACAACTAGACTACATCAAACTAAAAAGCTTTTTTGCACAGTGAAGGAAATCAACAAAATGAGAAGGCACATATTGCATTAGAGAAGGTATTTGCAAATGACAGATGTGATAAAGGGTTAATATCCAAAATATCTTATATAAAGAACTCATATAAGTTGACACCAAAAAGCAAACAATCTAATTGAAAAATGGGCAGAGGACCCACTCATGACATTTTTCCAAGTAAGATATACAGTAGGCCAACAGACACATGAAAAGATGCTCAACATCATTAATCATCAGGGCAATGTAAATTAAAACTACAATGATATTGCCTTAACAATACTCCGAATGACTAGTCTCAAAAAGGCAAGAAATAACAAGTGTTGGTAAAGATATGGAGAAAAGGGAAACTTCATATACTGTTGGGGGGAATGTAATATGGTACAGCCATTATGAAAAGCAGTATGGAGGTTCCTCAAAAAATTAAAAATAGAAATAGATATAACATAATTTCACTTCCTGGTATTTACTTAAAGAAAACAAAGTCACGAATATGAAAAGATATATGCCTTCTTATGTTTATTGCAGCAGTTTTTACAACAGCTAAGATAAGGAAGCAACTGAAGTGTCTACTGGCAAATGAGTGGATAAAGAAGATGTGGTACATGTACAATGGAATATTATTCAGCCATAAACAAAAACAGAAATATTGCCATTTGCAACAACATGGATGGAACTACAGGGTATTTTGCTAAGTGAAATAAGCCAGGCAGAGAAAGGCAAATAGCATATGATTTCACTTGTATGTGGAATCTAAGTAAAACAAATGAACAAACAAACGAGAAATAGAATAAAAAATAGAGAAGAAACTGGTGGTTGCTAGAGGGGTTGGGGGGCAATGGGCAGAACAGATGAAGGATTAAGAGATAAAAACTTCCAATTATAAAATATGTAAGTCACAGAGACAAAGTGCAGCATAGGGAATACTGTCAATAATATTGTAGTAACTTTGCATGGTAACAGGTGGTATCTACACTTACTGTGGTGAGCATTTTGTAATGTATGTAAATATCGAATTACTATGTTGTACACCTGAAACTAATATGATGTACATCAACTATCAATTAAAAATGAATAAATGAAAGTAAAAAGTTATCAGTGACGTAAATCTTCACTAAAGCTAACAATCCTTCCACAGTCCTTTTTCTCCTCTGCAATATGTGATGATTATTAACTATTGTGTTGTTGAAGACCCTCTTCATTGAGCTTTTATAGGGTATAATTTTCTCTTATCATCCTTTTTATATAGCTTGCTAGAGCTCTCATTCTGTCTTGCTCTTCCTGCTTTTGTCCCCTATCCACAATCTTTAAAATTCAGCCATAGGCTCTTTCTTTCTTCATAATCTATCTTCCTCATATATTTTTTATTATAATTTCTCACAGACCATTGTAACAGTTACCTAACTGGTCTTCTGCCTATTCCAAACCATGTTTACAAAACAACATTTTTCTTAAAATATAAATTGGATCACATCATTCCCCTAAGACATTTCAATGGCTTGCTATTACATTTAGAATGAATTAAATAAATCCACTTATAAACTAAATTGTTCTAAGTCATTTTTGGCTTCTGCACCTATCTCATCTTGTGCCACTGGCTCATCATGCTTTAGCTATTGCAGTTGCTGGAACACAATAGCATCATTCATGCTTCAGATACATTGTAATTGCTATTTATCTAAATGGCGCTTTTTGATACCTCCCATGGCGAGCCCCCTCATCCACTCAATTCTTGGCTCTCTGGTGGCTTTCTCAGAGAAATCTTCCGTTTAGGAATCAATCTAAAGATAGACCTCTCCTTCTTATCATCCATCACAGATTCTTAATAACTCCTGAAATCATTCTGACTGTTGGTTTTGGTCTGCATTCACCACTAGAATAAAAGCTCTCTAGGGGCAGTGTGTTGACCTTATTTAGGAATGCACCCTCAGTACTTAGTGTAATAGCACACAGAAGGTGGTCAATACTTTAAAATTATAAATGAATTAATACATGGTGTGTGTGGGTCATGGGGAAGACTGTAGCTCAGAGAAGACACACAGGGACTCTGTGGAATCTTACTACACTGATGGACAGTGACTCCAACGGGGTATGGGGGGGACTCGATAATAAGGGTGAATGTAATAACCACATTGTTTTTCTCGTGAAACCTTCATAAGAGTGTATATCAATGATACTGTAATTTTAAAAAAGGGGGAAAAATAAATGAATTAATAATTCCCTATTTTGAAGAATTCCATTTGTCCACATTTACTTCACCCATCAACTGGATCATAGAAGGATCATAGAATTCCATCACTAGGAATGAATCCAGAAGATCATCTAACCAAAGGGCTTGATATAATGGATGAAGAAGCTGAGAAGTTTAGTGATTTAGTTACGGTCTTGTTACCTGATTACCTGTTACCTAGACTCTCACATCATACTAAACATTTACCCAGCAATTTGATCTTGCCGTAGATCACACACACACACACACACACACAAACACACTGCAACAATGACAAAAGCCTGCCTCTTTAAAACACTGCAAGGCAGTCTTAAGGCTACTGTGATTTAAACTGCTACTGGTAATCTTTGACAATGCATTTATTTTCCCAAATTTTAGTCCTGTATCTCCAACTGCTAACTAGACTTTCATCCACTGGATTACCTACGACATCTCACTTACCTGAAAATACAACCTAATTCCTCATCAGACTTAAAAAGTAAGTAAGTTACTAGTGGAATTTTATCATAAAATGTAAGAAAATAACAGCACAGCAAATTACTTTTGATGCAATTCCACACCTAAGCTTCTACATGGCCCATCATACATATGGGCAAATGTGTTAAAAATAGCTGAGTCCTGATGTAGATACAATTCTGTATTTGCTTTATATAATTTCCCCAGCCTTGCCTTCTCAGTTTCAGTCATACCCTAAAATTGTGGTTCACTTAAATTCTCCCATTATTATAACTCACTTTTCTACTTAAAAGCAAACAAACCAAACCAAATCAACCTCTTGATTGGAAGTTAAACCCAGTGTCAACTAAATTTAAACCACAATGAAACACCTAATAGTGTATAGTTATTTTAACCAGGTAAATCCATCCAGTACCTGATAGGCTTAGGTCTACTATCTACTGACTGACACAACTTACTTACATGAGAGTAAAAAGTTAAAACCACCAAAGCATAGCACCTTGGCTCTTCCCCTTCCCTTAATTTATATCCCCTTTATTCCTTCTCCACCAAAATAACCTTAGAGAGCATGAAATGACAGAAAGAAAAATGGCTTGGAATCATAAATGAGAAGCTCTAACCCACTCTGACAATTGGCCAATTTCTATGGCCATAAGCATGGGAAGGAAAAATGGATGGAATGTACTAACTAGTAAATACAATGACAGGCACTTTGCTTAAGTGTTGACTGGGCTCTAGTGATTAGAGGGAGAATTTATTCTATTAGGGAATTATACTAAGATTAATTAAAAAAATAATGTATTAAAGTATAATAAGTTAGTGAGTGAACTTAGCAGGTAACACATAAAAGTAACACAAAGAGGAGAAAAAGTAGAATATATGTTCATACTCCTTTATCACAAAACTGAAAGGAATTTGAGTCTGAGTTTGACTTAGTGAGCAGAAAGCCCTATAAACTTAGTAACAGGGCCATCCTCTTACCAAGGATATGGATGAAATAAACTACATGCAAATAAAGTACATAATAATCAGAGGTGGGGCCAAATACTTCACCTAGTAGCTTCCACCTTGAAAGAAGGTTTGAGAAAATTTTGAAAAGGATTTGCGTTACAGATTAAGAATGAGGTTGTGAGGCAGATATTCTGAGTTTAGAAGAGGTAATTTGGGCTAGTTTAACTATGATGTTTACCTGCCATTTCTCTCACTGAATTTTGTCAAAGCCAGAGTGGATAATATAACCATCATTACTGCTTGGAAGAACGCTAGGGGGTGGTCAATCTCTTGGGGACCTGTTCTGGTAGTCTTCTGCAGGAGATGGTTCATTCTGTTATCAGAGGGCTGAACCACACAGAAGAGTATGGTAAACTGAAGAGAGAATCAATAATATACTATCTCATTAAAAGCCTTACTACTATATAAGGTATAAAAGAAAATACTATCTCTGTTAAAGAAAAAGAAGCTAAGGACAGAAAAAATGAGGACATTAGTCACAAAGAATGATGTAAAACTCTGAACCTATTCTTTTGATTCTGAAGTCCACGTTTAGTTCACTACAAGCATCACGTTAAGGTATTGTCTACATTCTAGAACTGTTGCATGGATTAAATAAAATACCATTTCTTCAAAGTACTAATTGTGGCCCAGCTTAATCATATATATGAAAAAGCATTACTAGTTTTAAGTAGTTAAAATTCATGTAAGTTTTAGAATATAAATATTATCCAATTTTAAGGATTATGCAAATGTGTATGTATTATTATGGAATGTGTAATAAGACACATGTTTCAGAAATTATATAGCAATTATTCAATCCTGTTTCTCGAATAGCTGGGTAGACGGCTATATTTTTGATCTTCTGATTTTAATATTTAAGAAAATATAACAAAAGAGGGGATGGTTGTAGTTTAATTAAATAGTTGTATGTCAAAGGCTTTTACAAGTTCCCATCTAAATACAGCAAAAAGATCCTAGATGTCACCCCACTTCACCTTTTTCACATTATGTCAGTACTTTATTTCTCAAATCAGCATAAAGGAAGATTTTTTGAAGATTACATGACATATGGATTAAAAAAAATATGTGTACCAAAGTCACTGTCTCAATTTAGAAAGATGTTATGAACTATTGAGACATCCTTGTTAGAGGAAACAAACTGTTCTCTTTGGAAAGATACATAGCATGCTTGCATATATTAATTTTTAAGAAATTATCTATACAGTATGGTATGATTATTAATGGAAACCCCAAACAATATGTAAATCAACTTGTCAAAATACTGTACCTTCCTCTCCTTGAACAGGTTCTTCTAACAGCAACTCTGTCATACATTCCCAGTCTTTCAACAGTTCTTGAGAGCTCTCCCACAAACTGTCCACCAAGTAGGCTGCATGTTCATGTAACTAAAAATAAAAAATCAAGTGTGACTCAAGAACATTTAATGAAGACCCTGCTAAGAATATTTTGAGTTAATAAACCATTTCACTCATAATTACAATGGCTTGGTCACAATGTTTCCAAGAACCAGTTACAGAACAAATATATATATATATGTACTCCATTATCAATAATGGGGGTGTGATACGTTAGACTCAATCAAAAAATTTTTTCCTACAGTCGTAAAGTTAAAGATATCCTAGTCCAACATCATTTATAGTGAGGAAACTAAAAGTATAAGTAGTTAACAGACTTCCTGAAATTATAAACTAGATAATAGTTCACTTTTTATTACCCTTCATTTGTCTCTATATTTACATAAAGGGAACCAATTACTTTATTCCAGAATTCTGTTTGAAACTTTGGTAACCCTTACTCACTTTACTTATCTCTGGTTGGTCAAGGACAAAATGTAAGTTACTCCACCTTTCTTTTTCACTCTCGATTATATTAACTCAATGCATTCCCCATCACAACCAACCCCCACTTTTTGCTGCTCATTATTCTTGGCAATTTTCTTTGGAAACCCTTATTTTCAGAATGAACAAACATCCTCAAATTCTTCATTAAACAATTCACACCAAAACCCCCACCACCTGTTAATCACTAAACTGTGAGGAATACTACTACATTTAAGCTCTTCAGAGAAGGTAAGCAGAGGTGTTCACATTCTTCTAGTTTTGAGGATTACAGTTTACTTCTCCATCATTGTATAAAACTTCTTCTACCTTTAAGGCTCATGAGATCCAGCTAAACCACTTTCTAGATAAGTATTTTAAAAATTATAAATTACAACCCATACAGTGACTGCTCAACTAATTTAATGCATGAAAGATTCAAAAAATGAAACATATACAAAAGAGTGTATACAGCACACAGAAAGTTAAGTACTATTTCATATTAACTCTTATTTTAGTTATATGTGCCTGTACTAGTAAACAGTTTTCTCATCATGAATAGTGGCTAGAAAAATGTCTGAAAATCATGTTTCTAGCCTTACTGGTTGTCTAGTGATACCTGGGAACATTTGGCATGTGAGTTGGTTTTATTACTCATTGCTAATTCCATCACAATTTTTAATTTTTTTCTTAAGATATCACTAATGTACATACTCTTGTGAAGGTTTCATATGAGCATCATTGTGATTACTACATTCACCCCTATTATCAAGTCCTCTCCACATACCCCATTATAGTCACTGTCCATCAGCATACTAAGATGCTATAGAATCACAACTTATCTTCCCTGTGCTACACTACCTTACCTGTGACCCCAATACATTATGTGTGTTAATCACAATACCCCTTAATCCCATTTTCTCTCCCTTTCCTCCAACCCTGCCACCCGCTTGCCCTTTGGTAACCACTAGTCCCTTCTTGGGGTCCGTGAGTCTGCTGCTGTTTTGTTCCTTCAGTTTAGTTTTACAGTTATACTCCACAAATGAGTGAAATCATTTGGTACTTGTTCTCTGCCTGATTTATTACTCTCAAGCTCCATCCATGCTGTTTCAAATGGTAGGATATGTTTTCTTCTTATGGCTAAATAATATTCCATTGTGTATTGTATATGTATTATATCTTCTTTATCCATTCATCTACTGATGGACCCTTAGGTTGCTTCCATGTCTTGGCTATTGTAAACAGTACTGTGATAAACACAGGGGTGCATATGTCGTTTGAATCTGGGATCTTGTTTTCTTTGGGTAAATGCCTAGGAGTGAAATTATCGCATCAAATGGTATTTCTATTTTGAGTTTTTTGAGGAATCTCCCTATTGCTTTCCACAAGAGTTGAACTAATTTACATTTCCACCACAGTGTAAGAGGGTTCCTGTTTCTCCACATCCTTGCCAGCATTTGCTGTTTCCTGTCTTTTGGATGTTGGCCATCAACATGTGAGGTGATATCTCATTGTGGCATTAATTTTCATCTCCCTGATGATGAGCAATGTGGATCATCTTTTCATGTGCCTGTTGGTCACCTGAATTTCTTCTTTGGAGAAGTGTCTGTTCAGATCCTCTGCCTATTTTCTAATCAGGTTATTTACCTTTTGGGTGTTGAGGCATGTGAACTCTCTATATATTTTGAATGTTAACTCCTTATCAGATATGTCATCTACAAATATATTCTCCCACACTGTAGGATGCCTTTTTGTTCTGCTGATGTTGTCCTTTGCTGTACAGAAGCTTTTTAGTTTGATGTAGTCCCATGTGTTCATTTTTGCTTTTGTTTTCCTTGCCTGAGTAGATGTGTTCAGGAAAAAGTTGCTCACGTTTATATTCAAGAGATCATTTTGCCTATGTTTTTTTCTAAAAGTTTTATGGTGTCATGACTTACATTCAGGTCTTTGATCCATTTCGAGTTTACTTTGTGTATGGAGTTAGACAGAAATACAGTTTCATTCTCTTACATGTAGCTGTCCAGTTTTGTCAACACCAGTTGCTTATGAGGCTGTTATTTCCCCATTGTATATCCATGATTCCTTTATCATACATTAATTGGCCATATATGTGTGGGTTGTTATCTGGACTCTCTATTCTATTCCATTGATCTGTAGGTCTGTTCTTGTGTCAGTATCAAATTGTCTTGATTACTGCGGTTTTGTAGTAGAGTTTGAAGTCACAGAGTGTAACCCCCCTAGCTTTATTCTTCCTTCTCAGGATTGCTTTAGCTGTTAGAAGCCTTTTGTGGTTCCATATATATTTTAGACTATTTGTTCTAGTTTGTTGAAGAATGCTGTCAGTATTTTGATAGGGACTGCACTGAATCTGTAGATTTTTTAGGCAGGATGGTCATTTTGACAATATTAATACTTCCTATCCTTGAGCATGTGATGCATTTCCATTTATTGATGTCTTCTTTAATTTTTCTCATGAGTGTCTTGTAGTTTTCAGGGTATAGATCTTTCACCTCCTTGGTTAGGTTTATTCCTAGATGTTTTATTCTTTTTGATGCGATTGTGAATGGAACTGTTTTCCTGGTTTCTGTTTCTGCTAGTTCATCATTAATATATAGGAATGCAGATTTCTGTGTATTCATTATGTATTCTGCAATCCTGCTGAACTGTTCTTAGTTCAGTAATTTTGGAGTGGATTCTCTGGGGTTTTTTATGTCCAATATCATGTCATCTACAACCAGTGACAGTTTAACTTGTTCCTTACCAATCTGGGTATCTTTTAATTTCTTTGTGTTGTCTGATTGCCATGGCTAGAACCTCCAGTACTATGCTGAATTAAAGTGGGGACAGTGGGCATCCTTGTCTTGTTCCCATTCTTAGAGGAAAAGCTTTCAGCTTTTTGCTGTTAAGCATGATGTTGGCTGTGAGTTTGTCATACATTACCTTTATTATGTTGAGGTACTTGCCCTCTATACCCATTTTGTTGAGAGTTTTTATCATGAATAGATGTTAAATTTGTCAATTGCCTTTTCAGCATCTATTGAGATGATCATGTGATCTTTGTCCTTCTTTTTGTTGATGTAGTGGATGTTGATGGATTTTCGAATGCTGTACCATCTTTGCATCTCTGGGATAAATCCTACTCGATCATGATGGATGATCGTTTTGATATATTTTTGGGTTCAGTTTGCTAATATTCTGTTGAGTATTTTTGCATCTATGTTCTTCAGGGATATTATTCTGTAATTTTCTTGTTTTGTGGTGTCTATGCTTGGTTTTGGTAGTAGAGTAATGTTGGCCTCACAGAATAAGTTTGGAAGTATTCCCTCCTTTTCTACTTAGTGGAGGACTTTAAGGAACATGTGTATTAGGTCCTCTCTAAATGTCTGATAAAATTCAGAGGTGAAGCCATCTGGTTCAGGGATTTTTGTTTTTGGGTAGTTTTTTGCTTGCTGATTCAATTTCATTGCTGGTAATTGACCTGTTCAGATTTTCTGTTTCTTCCTTGGTCAGTCTTAGAAGGTTGTATTTTTCTAAAAAGTTGTCCATTTCTTCTAGATTATCCAGTCTTTAGTATATAATTTTTCATAGTATTCTCTAATAATTCTTTGTATTTATGTGGTGTCCATAGTGATTTTTCCTTTCTCATTTATGATTCTGTTTATGTGTGTAGACTCTCTTTTTTTCTTGATAAGCTTGTCTTGGGGTTTATCTATTTTGTTTATTTTCTCAAAGAACCAGCTCCTGGTTGCAGTGATTCTTTCTATTGTTTTATTCTTTTCAATTTTATTTATTTCTGCTCTAATCTTCATTATGTCCCTTCTGCTGACTTTGGGCCTCATTTGTTCTTCTTTTTTCTAGTTTCATTAATTGTGAGTTTAGACTGTTCATTTGGGATTGTTCTTTCTTGAGTTAAGCCTGTATTTCTTTATACTTTCTTCTTAGAACTGCCTTCACTGTGTCCCACAGAAGTTGGGACACTGAATTGTTTTTTAAATTTTTCTCCAAATATTGCTTGATCTCTGTATTTGGTCATTGATTCATTGAATATTTAAGAGCATGTTGTTAAGCCTCTATGTGTTTATGAGCCTTTTTGTTTTCTTTGTACAATTTATTTTGAGTTTCATACCTTTGTAATCTGAGAAGCTGGTTGGTACAATTTCGATCTTTTGGAATTTACTGAGGCTCTTTTTGTGGCCTACTATGTGATCTATTCTGGAAAATGTTCCATGTACACTTGAGAAGAATGTGTATCCTGTTGCTTTTGGGTTGAGTGTTTTGTAGATGGCTGTTCGGTCTATCTATTCATTATTAACTTTATTTACATTTTTGATGATCTATTTAAAGCCTGACTCATTTGCCCTCCTTAATTGTTATTTCATTTCTGCTCCATCTCAAATTTCACATACCAGCTCCTGAAATGCTTCAGGAGCAGCACACTCACCCACAGTTTTCCAGTGATTTTTGTCAAAGCCGAAGTAGATAATATTCATTAGTATTTTCACTTGGAAAGAACACAGGCAAAAGGCCTGCACCAGGATACATTGAAAATATTGAAATTTTCATAACCT